TTTTTCCCAGCAGGAGCAAATTGGATCATGCTTTACTGGGTTTTTATTGCCTTCCTCTGGATCAACTGTGAGTATAGAACTAGAACTTTTTTTTTTTTTCTGTGGTTGAACTGAATGGACTTTTGTCTTTTTTTTCAGCCAGACTATGTAACTATGTATGTAAGTCACTGCCCATATGGATGAGGCCTGAAGCTTCTTTGTTTTTAGCTGCACATATAAACTCTGCATTGGCTACTAACCACCATGTGAAGGAACCAGAGTTCTGTAGCAGCTACCAACCTTGGACTCCATGTTTGTGATGTGAATTGCCCCTTAAACTGGGGATATGATTAACTGAAAGCGGTATCAGACCCAAAAACATACAGATTACCAATCCTTCAGCCCTGGTTCACACTAATGCGGTGTGGGAAACACAGCAAATACTGCGTATTTCGCGCACAGCGTCTATGCGATCTGGTGCGGGTCTCAATGTTAAATTAACGTCACCTCGAAACAGATAGCAAAACGCAGTGCGATTACCAGAATTCGCATTACATGGGTATGAACACCCATGTGATGTGAATCAGGTGCGGGAAAAAAAAGGGTCCTGCACTTTTTTGGTGCGGATGCAATGCGGTTTGAGCCATACAAAATGTATGGCTCAAATCGCACCGCACAGACATCGCATCTGATTTGCACAGGAATGCGGTGCGGTTCCTGTGCGAATCACTTGCGATGTGCCGCACCGCCTTAGTGTGAAGCAGTGCTATGGTATTTATTTTTTTTTTATGCATTTTTCCTTTATTTTCACCCACTGATTCGACCAGTAACACCTTAGGGTGTCTTCCCATTGGTGGGCGGAGCAATGGAGGCATTGTCAACCTACGGACAGCGGGGCGTTGAACAGCCTTCAGCTGTTGAGAAACTACAAGTCCCATCATGCCTCTGCCTTTGGAGTCATGCTTGTAACTGTCAATCTTGCAGTGCCTCATGGGACTTGTAGTTTGGCAACAGCTGGAGGGCCGCCAGTTTGACACCTGTGGCTAGCAGAATTAGATGGAGTTGACTGACAAATTAAAGCTGAACACCAGATAACACATTTTAGGCAGTTACATGAAGAGTTTTTTTTTCCTTTTGGGATAAAGGTTTTACATAAACTAATAAAAGCTGATCATTATAAGCACCCCTGTCAGTGGTAAATGGTTTGTCTCAACCCTATAACTGCCATTTTTGCTGGATAGCTTGGTGTGTTAAAGGAGGTTGAATAATAAAAATCGTATTAGCTTGATAAACAGGTGAAAATAAAGAGAAGAAAAGGAAATAAATGCAGATTATGTTTTTAAAGTGTAACTGTGGGCAAAATAAAAATGACAAATGTATTTTTTTCAAACTACAATCTGCTATACTTACCTCCCCTCCAGTGCCTTGGGTTCCCTTTCCCATTGCTCCCATCCTTACCCGTTCTTCTGTAGTTTGGCATTTTCTGTCAATCTTGATTGGCTGGCCAAGGGTGAAGTAACTCCCATGCATGTGCACTGAATTGCATTCATCCTGACACCACAGCATGCTGGGAATGTATTCTGAGCTCCACATATGCCACCCTGAAGAAACTTTGGGAAAGATTTACTAAAACTGGTGCCGTCTGATACCTGGTACAGCTGTGCATGGCAGCCAACCAACGTCTAACTTCAGCTTCTTGAATTAATTACAAAACCCTGGACCCTGCATTCACTATATGTGGTCTCCCTGGACCCTGCATTCACTATATGTGGTCTCCCCGGACCCTGCATTCACTATATCTGGTCTCCCCGGACCCTGAATTCACTATATGTGGTCTCCTCAGACCCTGCATTCACTATATCTGGTCTCCCCGGACCCTGCATTCACTTTATCTGGTCTCCCCGGACCCTGCCTTCACTATATCTGGTCTCCCCGGACCCTGCATTCACTATATCTGGTCTCCCCGGACCCTGCATTCACTATATCTGCTCTCCCCGGACGCTGCATTCACTATATCTGGTCTCCCTGGACCCCGCATTCACTATATTTGGTCTCCCCGGACCCCGCATTCACTATATGTGGTCTCCCCGGACCCCGCATTCACTATATGTGGTCCCCCCGGACCCCGCATTCACTATATGTGGTCTCCCCGGACCCTGAATTCACTATATGTGGTCTCCCCAGACCCTGCCTTCACTATATCTGGTCTCCCCGGACCCTGCATTCACTATATCTGCTCTCCCCGGACCCTGCATTCACTATATCTGCTCTCCCCGGACCCCGCATTCACTATATCTGGTCTCCCCGGACCCCGCATTCACTATATGTGGTCTCCCCGGACCCCGCATTCACTATATGTGGTCTCCCCGGACCCCGCATTCACTATATGTGGTCTCCCCGGACCCTGCATTCACTATATCCGGTCTCCCCGGATCCTGCAGTCACTATATCCGGTCTCCCCGGACCCTGCATTCACTAAATCTAGTCTCCCTGGACCCTGCATTCACTATATCTGCTCTCCCCGGACTCTGCATTCCCTAAATCTAGTCTCCCTGGACCCTGCATTCCCTAAATCTAGTCTCCCTGGACCCTGCATTCACTATATCTGCTCTCCCCGGACCCCGCATTCACTATATCTGGTCTCCCCGGACCCCGCATTCACTATATGTGGTCTCCCCGGACCCCGCATTCACTATATGTGGTCTCCCCGGACCCCGCATTCACTATATGTGGTCTCCCCGGACCCTGCATTCACTATATCTGGTCTCCCCGGACCCTGCATTCACTATATCCGGTCTCCCCGGATCCTGCAGTCACTATATCCGGTCTCCCCGGACCCTGCATTCACTAAATCTAGTCTCCCTGGACCCTGCATTCACTATATCTGCTCTCCCCGGACCCTGCATTCCCTAAATCTAGTCTCCCTGGACCCTGCATTCCCTAAATCTAGTCTCCCTGGACCCTGCATTCACTATATCTGGTCCCCCAGGACCCTGCATTCACTATATCCGGTCTCCCCGGACCCTGCATTCACTATATCCGGTCTCCCCGGACCCTGCATTCACTATATCTGGACTCCCCGGACCCTGCATTCACTATATCTGGTCTCCCCAGACCCTGCATTCACTATATCTGGTCTCCACGGACCCTGCATTCACTATATCTGGTCTCCCACAGTACATACAACATGTAAATATAATTATTGTAGTAACTATAAACTGCTAAATACCTTTTCTCATCAGCAGTATATAGCAGTCTTGTGACTTCTATCAGTGTCCAGCAGAGCACTGGAGGACTTTTCTTTCTGCTCTAAAAGGATGCAAAACCCCTGACCTCAGTCTGGACAGTGCTGATTGGCCATGTGCTGATCACATGCACTCTTCCAAGAAAAAAACAAAACAAAAAAAAAAAAACCTCTCTAGCAACACACACTAAACTGAGCATGTGCAGAATGGCTACGGTTCCATCTGTCTTATCAGGAGATAAGAGATAAGGACATTTGAACAAGAGGAGGATCAGAGAAGACAGGATCAAACAGCCTTTTTACACATTGTGGAGGATTAACCCCTTAGGTTCCACAGTGAGTATAACAAGCATGCTTTACTGCATCTACAGACTGATTGTACTGTTGTGGGTTTAGTAACACTTTAACCCCTTCACACCTAAGGGTAAAACAAACCTTAAAGCCTAAGCCCAATACTGCAACGTTGACATGTGTTAGTAAAACCGTACATATCATCACAACTACTTTGTACATCCAGGTGGATTATACCGTGTTTTTTTCAGGGCAAATTGGGCTTTCATTTGGTGGTATATGGTACTGTATATCCCCTGATTATTTTTTATTATCCAAGGAAAACTGGTCCAAAATAGTAAAAAAAAAATATTTTTTAAATTTAGCTGTGCTTTATTGTTACTACCATAACCTACCACCAAAGAAGAACCCAAAATAAATTTTCCAGCTCTTGACGATCGAAGCGATTCCATATATGTATGTTATTTGTTGTTTGTACCCAGAGTACAGCCCAGAGAAACACGCTGACACTGATACCAATTTTAAAAAAAAGAAAAACAAAACACCTGACCTTTGACCCTGACCTTGACCCAAACACTAACCCTGGCACTGAACTAGATCAAACCTTGATCTAGGTATGTCTTCTTTTGTTTTTTCTTTTATTTTGTAAAATGTATTTATTTTTTCCCCACGTTTTTTTTTTTTCTCTCTGCAAGGAGACAGAGAGATACAATGCATCTCTTTCCTCCATTCAGAGAGAAAAAAAAAACAAGGGGGGACAGGCTTCACAGTGACTGATCACTGTGATAGCCAATCAGAGGCTATCACAGCAATCATGTGACCCGGAATCGGTAGTCCTGGGTTCTGATTGTCAGAACAGAACCCGGGGCTCTCAGTGACACCCCGGTCTTTATGCTGGGAGCACGCCGCATGGCACAAAAGTACGCAAATATGCAGCCCCACAGAAAAAAGCCCAGTTCTGTGAGGCCGAATATTTGTGTTACGTCAAGGGGTTAACCTATATCACTAAAACCTGGAAGCCGATTGGTTTCTATGCAGAGCTGCACCACATTTTGCACTCTCCAGTTTTAGTAAATCCCTCCTACAGAGTCTCTTCTGCAAGAAAAGCTTGCTTGTCAGCCGTCTTCATTCAACATGGACCTGCCAGCACCTCAAAGAAAGTTGACTGTACAATCAACTTTTGTTGAAGGAGCCTGTGGGAAAATTACCAGCCCAGCAGTGACTGCAGCCAATCAGCTGCAGGCACCGTGCTGTCCAGGGGCGGACTGACCATTTGGAAACTCGGGCACTGCCCGAGGGCCCTGGGTCAGTAGGGGGCCCCATGAGATGCCCCTGGTACCTTTTTCATAGGCTTTTTTGAGTTTGGGCAAGGACACAGGGGCCCCATGATCCCCTATTGCCCGGGGGCCCCATGAGTTGTCAGTCCACCCCTGGTGCTGTCATACTGACAACCGCTGGCTGTCAAAATACTGGATGGAGGAATCTGTTAGATTTCAAAGCAAAGAGGTCAAAGCAAACTAAACCCATCGATTTAATGGTTTCAAAAAAGTCACATTCCCGGCATGCCAGGAATGCTATCACATTTGGTTATACCAGCAATGGGCAAACTACGGCCCGCGGGCCGTATACGGCCCGGCGGACCTTTTAATCCGGCCCGCGGAGCTAGGCTCCCGCAAGGCCAGTGGTCGGCAAGCCGCGGCTCTTTACAAATTTAGATGCGGCTCTCCTGTGTGCCGGGCGCCCGCTCCCCTCCCTCCTCTCCCCTCCCCTCCTCTCGGATGGCCGCCCCCCCTCTCGGATGGCCGCCCCCCTCCCTCCTCTCGGACGTCAGGACTCTGCAGCTGTCAGGATGTAGGCGGGGCAGCGTGACGAACTCCTCTCACAGTCCTCCCTGAAGACCAGAACGGCGCGGGAATACGAGAGGAACGCGCGGACCAAAGGTAAGTGAATTGACACAGGGGGGGGACTTACTATATGGGGGATGATTACTATATGGGGGACTTACTATATGGGGAATGAATTACTATATGGAGGACTTACTATATGGGGAATGAATTACTATATGGGGGACTTACTATATGGGGAATGAATTACTATATGGAGGACTTACTATATGGGGGATGAATTACTATATGGAGGACTTACTATATGGGGAATGAATTACTATATGGAGGACTTACTATATGGGGAATGAATTACTATATGGGGGACTTACTATATGGGGAATGAATTACTATATGGAGGACTTACTATATGGGGAATGAATTACTATATGGGGGACTTACTATATGGGGGATGAATTACTATATGGGGGATGAATTAATATGGGGGATGAATTACTATGTGGGGGATGAATTACTATGGGGGATGAATTACTATATGGGGGATGAATTACTATGGGGGATGAATTACTATAGGGGGGATGAATTACTATGGGGGACGAATTACTATATGGGGGACGAATTACTATATGGGGGACGAATTACTATATGGGGGATGAATTACTATGGGGGATGAATTACTATATGGGGGATGAATTACTATGGGGGATGAATTACTATATGGGGGATTAATTACTATATGGGGGATTAATTACTATGGGGGATTAATTACTATGCTTACTATGGGGGAATATTACTATACTTACTATGGATGACACATACACATCATTCATCTACTCTTGGTCCGGCCCCCGGGTCCAATATATGAACCCATTGCGGCCCTCAAGTCAAAAAGTTTGCCCACCCCTGGGTTATACTTTCAAACCATCAAATGGCTGGTCTGATAACTGATCACATGCATAGTTCCATAGCAGTTTGGAGGTCAAAGAGAGGTCAAGATGGCAGCTTCCTTAGCTGAAAAGGTTAGAAGGTTTAGTTCCACTTTGTTTCGTAAAACAGTTGCAGTCAAGGCATGCCGTGAATGTTAACTGTCAAAAGTGCTTGTGCTCTCAACTGAACCACCAAGCCATCAGATGGCTGGTCTCATAACTGACCACATGCGTAGCCCCATAGCAGTTTGAAGGTCAAAGAGGTCAAGATGGCAGCTTCCTTGGCTGAAAAGGTTAGAAGGTTTAGTTCCGCTTTGTTTCCTAAAACACTTAAAGTCAAGTCATGCCATGAATGTTAACTGTCACAAGTGCTTGCACTCTCAACCGAACTGGCAAGCCATCAAATGGGCTGGTATCATAACTGATCACATGCGTAGTTCCATAGCAGTTTGGAGGTCAAAGAGAGCTCAAGATGGCAGCTTCCTTGGCTGAAAAGGTTAGAAGGTTTAGTTCCGCTTTGTTTTCCTAAAGCAGTTGCAGTCAAGGGATGCCGTGAATGTTAACCGTCAAAAGTGCTTGTGCTCTCAACTGAACCACCAAGCCATCAGATGGCTGGTCTCATAACTGATCAAATGCCTAGCCCCATAGCAGTTTGGAGGTCAAGCAGAGGCCAAGATGGTAGCTTCCTTGGCTGAAAAGGTTAGAAGGTTTAGTTCCGTTTTCACGGTTTTCTAAAACAGTTACAGTCAAGGGATGCCGTGAATGTTAACCGTCAAAAGTGCTTGTGCTCTCAACTGAACCACCAAGCCATCAGATGGCTGGTCTCGTAACTGACCACATGCGTAGCCCCATAGCAGTTTGGAGGTCAAACAGAGGCCAAGATGGTAGCTTCCTTGGCTGAAAAGGTTAGAAGGTTTAGTTTCTGGCTTTGTTTCCTAAAACAGTTGCAGTCAAGGCATGCCGTGAATGTTAACCGTCAAAAGTGCTTGTGCTCTCAACTGAACCACCAAGCCATCAGATGGCTGGTCTCATAAAAGATCAAATGCCTAGCCCCATAGCAGTTTGGAGGTCAAGCAGAGGCCAAGATGGTAGCTTCCTTGGCTGAAAAGGTTAGAAGGTTTAGTTCCGTTTTCACTTTTCACGGTTTTCTAAAACAGTTACACTCAAGGGATGCCGTGAATGTTAACTCTCAAAAGTGCTTGTGCTCTCAACTGAACCACCAAGCCATCAGATGGTTGGTCTCATAACTGACCACATGCGTAGCCCCATAGCAGTTTGGAGGTCAAACAGAGGCCAAGATGGTAACTTCCTTGGCTGAAAAGGTTAGAAGGTTTAGTTCCGTTTTCACGGTTTTCTAAAACAGTTACAGTCAAGGGATGCCGTGAATGTTAACCGTCAAAAGTGCTTGTGCTCTCAACTGAACCACCAAGCCATCAGATGGCTGGTCTCGTAAACTGACCACATGCGTAGCCCCATAGCAGTTTGGAGGTCAAACAGAGGCCAAGATGGTAGGTTCCTTGGCTGAAAAGGTTAGAAGGTTTAGTTCCGCTTTGTTTCCTAAAACAGTTGCAGTCAAGGCATGCGTGAATGTTAACCGTCAAAAGTGTTTGTGCTCTCAACTGAACCACCAAGCCATCAGATGGCTGGTCTCATAACTGATCAAATGCCTAGCCCCATAGCAGTTTGGAGGTCAAAGCAGAGGCCAAGATGGTAGCTTCCTTGGCTGAAAAGGTTAGAAGGTTTAGTTCCGTTTTCACTTTTCACGGTTTTCTAAAACAGTTACACTCAAGGGATGCCGTGAATGTTAACTCTCAAAAGTGCTTGTGCTCTCAACTGAACCACCAAGCCATCAGATGGTTGGTCTCATAACTGAACTGACCACATGCGTAGCCCCATAGCAGTTTGGAGGTCAAACAGAGGCCAAGATGGTAGGTTCCTTGGCTGAAAAGGTTAGAAGGTTTAGTTCCGCTTTGTTTCCTAAAACAGTTGCAGTCAAGGCATGCCGTGAATGTTAACCGTCAAAAGTGCTTGTGCTCTCAACTGAACCACCAAGCCATCAGATGGCTGGTCTCATAACTGATCAAATGCCTAGCCCCATAGCAGTTTGGAGGTCAAGCAGAGGCCAAGATGGTAGCTTCCTTGGCTGAAAAGGTTAGAAGGTTTAGTTCCGTTTTCACTTTTCACGGTTTTCTAAAACAGTTACAGTCAAGGGATGCCGTGAATGTTAACTCTCAAAAGTGCTTGTGCTCTCAACTGAACCACCAAGCCATCAGATGGTTGGTCTCATAACTGACCACATGCGTAGCCCCATAGCAGTTTGGAGGTCAAACAGAGGCCAAGATGGTAACTTCCTTGGCTGAAAAAGGTTAGAAGGTTTAGTTCCGTTTTCACGGTTTTCTAAAACAGTTATAGTCAAGGGATGCCGTGAATGTTAACCGTCAAAAGTGCTTGTGCTCTCAACTGAACCATCAAGCCATCAAATGGGCTGGTATCATAACTGATCAAAGAACTATGGCAACTGCAGATCAGAGGCTACGATGGAAGATTCCTTTGTTGTAAAAGACAGGGGGGTTTAGTTTCGCTTTAAAGTTGAACTAAACCCTCCCATACTTTTCAGCCAAGGAATCTGCCATCTTAGCTTCTGTTTGAACTGCAACTGCCATGGTGCTGCACAAGTGATCAGTTATGACTCCAGTTGATGGCTTGACAGTCTGGACAAGAGCACAAGCAAATGTAAAAATTAGCATTCCTGACATTCCGGGAATGTAACAGTTAAATCGATGGGTTTACTTCCGCATTAAGATATATGAATAAAAAACTGATTTCATAAGCACCCCCCCGGCAGTTTGTACCAACCCATGAAACTGTCAGTTTTGCTGGACAGCTTGGCCTGTATGGAAAGTGGAAGCAGATATACTGGCAGGATCAAGAGGTTATAAAACAATGTTAGGGGGGAATAAAAACAAAAACTAGTGTGTTAATCCTAGTGACAGTCTGCATCATGTCACATGTCATTTTTGATTTTGCCCAAGGTTTCTCTTTAAAGCTAAATTCCAGGAATTCAGCTACTTTGTAAAAGCTGCAGGCATACCATGACTTAAGTTTAGCGAGGTGCCTGCTGTCTGGTAGACTTGTCTCTATTGTTCACACCTGACAGGTTTATTGTGTTGTAGGAAGGTAACTTCTGGAGCTCCAAACTCCAAACACTGTGGTCTCAATTCAAGAGTAGAGCCACTTGAACTGCTATGCCCATCCCTCCCTTCCTTCTGTCCATTCACAGAAGCCTTTGCATTATGTGAACTTATTCCTCCTAGATTGTAAGCTCCAAGGATCCCTTCTTTCCCTCTTGTATTGAACTATTGTTGCTGTATTGTCTCCCGTTATATTGTAAAGCACTGAGGAAACTGTTGGCGCCATATAAATCCTGTATAATAATAATAATTCACAAAATGCAAAGGCTTCTGTGAATGGGCAGCAGAGGGGAGGAGTGAGCATATCTGCTCTATGTGCTTCTCTCCTTTCACAGCCTGAGTGTATCCTCCGGCAGTGCAATTAACCTGTCACATACAAGTAATAGAGATAGGTCCCGGAGGTGACATGCACCTAATTAGACTTGACTCAAAATGTGCCTGAACTTCATGGAATGTTGCTGAATTCCTGGAATCCAGCTTTAAACATGGCCAGGGTTGATGGGGTGGCCTTTCAATGTAGCATTTATCAATGTATGACAGCAATGAATGAATGAGGAATGTGAAAGTTTCACTGTGTAATGCAATACGATGAAATTCATGCAACTGTGAGATAGAACTTAAATCAAAGTGGGAATATATCTCTTCTAATACAAGATCAGAATTGTAAAAACGTAGAAATCAAACTCTTAAAAGAAAAAAAAACACAACTGCAGCTTTTTAAATATATGCATTATAATCCCAAAAAAACACTACAATAAAAATTACCAAACTAAATATCTAACATAAAAAAATGAGAGAAATGAACACAGTACATTCAAGCTAAAGTAATCATAAATCCTGGTCAGTTTGTTGTCCACTTTTAGTTTTCAGCAGCCAATTAAAACGTAGGAAAACAAATTCAGTGTAATTAGAGCACTTTCAGAAACAGATAGGAAGAAAAATCCAGAAAGAAATAACTGATTTTGCATTAACATTATCATGACTTGAGAGTATCAGAAATGTTCAGATGCAAAGATTGATACATGATGGGCAAAGTAATAAAGTTTCTTGGAAAAAAAAAAAAAAAACTAAACAAAATGGGAGGGGGGGGGGGGGGGAGGGGGCACACAAGTAGCACCATTTCCATGTAAACAAGAGAAATGAGCAAAATTCACAAACAAGGTGACAGAAAATAAATAATTAGGAATGTATTTTTTTTTTAAATTGAAACATTTGCAACAAAGTAAACAAAATTGGGACATGCTATGAAAAATGGCCAACAAAAAACTATTAATTTTACAATTTACAAATACCTTTAAAGCCCTACTGAAGGTTCAATTTAAATCAGCGAAATACTTTCCAGGTGCGCCAAAGCAAAAAAAGTGAGTCTTAGCCCCGGTTCACACTGCTGTGACCTGCGACACGTAAAGTCGCAAGACAAGTAAAAACACATTCATTCTAATGGGTGGCCTCTTAGTTGCTTTGATTTATGTCAAAGCGTCAGGCGGAGCCTCCCTCTGACGTCATCGCGCTGTCGGTAGGATTTTACTCTGAGTTTTTGATACGTATTGCACTATGAGAGGCATGTTTTTTTCTTTCATGATCTTATTTGACCCTGCACTTCGCATTCACATTTGAGTTGGAGGTCTGGAAGATCCCTGTTTCAAGCATGGCATGGAGAACCTGCTAGTGTCTTACATAACAATGCTGGTTGGGACCCCCTAGAATTAAGGGGTCTCCATTTCTGGTAAGCCTCCATTTAATTATTTGGTGGTGGTACACATCTTGGTGGCTAATTGAAGGAAGATTGCTCACACTGCACCTACAGCATCGATTTACAGCATTTTCACTGATTGTGGAGTCTTTTTCCTCATATGGACTTTATTATATGTTTATATGGACATTAAGTTACTGTTTTGCTGCTTTGACCATATCTGACAGTTTTTTTTCTTTTTTATGTATACTTGTGATTAGTGTATTTTGCACAAGTATTATTTAATCATTTATCTAGATCGCCTTTCAGAGGTATGAGGGCTTTCATAGTGCATATGCATGTTGTATGAAATTTATTGTTTCACATAGCGCAGTATTTATTTTACTAAGTTTTTACAAACAGAGGATATCCTCTTTAATATTTGCGGCTTTGTGATATAAGGGGATTAGAGATTTGCGCGGTTTGACCCCATTTACATCATTTTTTAGAGACCAAACAAGTTGCGTCTGCACTATTTTTCTGAATCTTTGGTGCGGCATGAGTGCTATTGACTCCAATGTTAAAATCACACAAGTCGCAAGGTAGCCGTATCTATCTGGATGCAACTTCAGAGGGTTTTTTTTTAAGCCAAAGTCACACTAAAGTCGCATCAAGTTGCAATGCAAAGTTGCATAACTTTGGGGTCGTTTTCGTTAGGAAAAGTTAAGCCTGACCCCTGTCAGCATGCGGCAGAGAAGGACCCTTGCGCTCTGTGTAGAAGCAGTGGTCTCTCTGCAGAGGTTTGACACCCCCTTGTTGACTCAGACCTATAGCTTTCCAATCAGCAGGTAGCATGAGCTTTGCTGATTGCAGAACTATTGGTCTTTGACAGCAGGGGTATGTCGGACCTCTGCAGATAGACTACTGCTTCCACAGACAGCAAAGGTTCTTACTGCAGCAAGCTAGCAAAAAGAACAGCCTTTTCTTTCAGTGTAGGACAGGCTTTCTGAACATTCTTATCATCGAGGAACCCTTGACTTAAATGTCTGGTCCCAGGGAACCCTTGCTAATAATTACTTTATCCACAGTTCACAGCAGGGGCGGACTGACCATTTGGAAACTCAGGCACTGCCCGGGGTCAGTAGGGGACCCTATGAGATGCCCCTGGTACCTTTTTCATAGGCTTTTTTGAGTTTGGGCAAGAACACAGGGGCACCATGATCCCCTATTGCCCGGGGGCCCCATGAGTTGTCAGTCCGCCCCTGGTACCTTTTTCATAGGCTTTTTTGAGTTTTTGGGCAAGGACACAGGGGCCCCATGATCCCCTATTGCCCGGGGGCCCCATGAGTTGTCAGTCCGCCCCTGGTTCACAGTTCATTAGTGTGATGGTCACTGGGGTAGACTGCTCCTTACATTTGGGGGCATTAGGAAGAATTTCCCCTTGCATATAGATAAAAATATCATTGTTGTTAGTGGCTACCCATCTGAAAGGCAGAATATCTGAGATTTTCTCTCCCTGGTTGTATGGTGGAGCCTATTCTGATGGTGAGGAATCCTATAGAGTGGATACGAAAGAGGGTTTAGGATCCCATAAAATTCCTAAAAGGTGTTTCATTCACCTAAATCTGGTGAGTGTAATTGATGTTGGTTTGCACGGGTGGAAGGTGGAAGTCTTTTTTGCATTTGAAGAATTTCTGGATTTTTTTGCACAAATTTTTTGTGATTCACGAACGTTTGTTGTCTATTACTACGATGGACTTTCACTACTAATATTATTTATGATATATTATGCACTTTACAGATTGATTTTTATTTAGAGGTCTATGTTTGCGCTGTTTATTTATAGTTGTCACAATTAGAACATGCCCATAGCTCAAAGCATGCCTAGGAACCACTGGAGGAACCCTGTTGAGAAAGCTGGTGTAGGACCTTGCATATCTTTTTTTTTTATGCACCTGGAAAGGAATTAGCTGTTGTAAGTTGTAAGTTCAGTTGGGCTTCCCTAATATTTTACTTGCTGTTTCAGGCCAGTGCCATTTTTAAAATCTATTTTTTGAGGCGGTAAAAAAAAAAAAATCTGCAAAAAAAAAACCCCCACTTCTAAATATTACAAGTATTAATAGGAATTTTATTTCAAATGTGAAAGCTATGTCCATGAATTCTGCCCACTGCATACAAAAAAGACACCACCGGTCCTTCTTTGGGACAGTGTGAATGAGAGGCACAAAGAGGTCTTAATGGTACAAAAATAACACTGAGTGTGAGACATAAGGAATGTTGGAGCATGGAGGCATCGATCACCCCTATCAATTTATCTAGGAGAAAATGTTTGTTAAAATATTCTAAGGCTAGTCCTTGCAGAATCTAAAAATCACAGCAACTTGTGATGCCCTGCTATCCCTCCAGAATATTTATTTATTTAATTTTTTTTTTTTGAGGTCCATTAGACTTTGGGTTGTATACCCTGCAGGAGACCAGTGCTCCAACTTAAGGCCCAAGGCACATGGTCTCCTGTCCAGTGGTAAATAGGCTAGTTAAAGGTCTTCCACGTCAAGAAGGGAATCCTTGGAGCACAGTGGCTCATGGCTCTGTCATTCGTAAAACCAGGACTGCCTCAGTGCCTCCTCCAATGAGAATCTTCCTTAAGTCTTTCACGATGTCAGACAACGAGGGACATTCTGTTTGGGAAATCACCCTGCGAAAAATAATAAACAGTAAGATGTGAACATGACAAAAATGAAAAAAAAAAAAACAAAAAAACAAAATGATAAAAAAAACTCTCCCTGACCGAGGAACGTGAATCGAAAAATCCCCGTTGACTTCCCTGTCTACATTTCTTTTAAAAATGGCACCTATCTGTGCATTCAAGCTACACACAGGGCATCGTAAGCTGCAGCAAGACACGATGTACAACCCACGTTTAATTTTTTTTATAAAACAAACAGGTAACACTAATGAGATCTCTGTCATAAAGGCTGTTCTTAGGCTATGGTGAATGATGTCAAATGTGTGACTTATGACAAGAGTGAATGAACACACATGGTGAAATATGAATGGGGGGGTTTATATACGGAATGGTTGGGATTGCGCGTTTTATTTCTCTTTAATTGTGCCGGTGAAATATTGATTTGCCTTTGCCTCATTGGCTGTTTCCCTCATTCTTTGTGTAAAAACAACACAACTATAAAAAAGAGAGAAGAGAAATAACTAATGATCCAACAATAAAGGAAACCAACCATCTGTTTTTCATTTTTTTTTTTCTTGTTCCAATACATTTAATATTTTTCAAAAAGTTTAATTTTCGACATGTAAAAAGCTGCCACACTTACAGTTTCATAGAAAGTAATTTGGGAACAAAAATAATATGCAGCAGCAACACAAACAATTTCATTTTTGAACATGTTTTTTGGTCATGTATAATAAATGTTTTTTTTTTTTTTTTATTGACACCAAAAATAATGTCTGGTCAAGAAAATTTAAGTCTTCTGTTGCAGCTATTTTTTCTTTTAATTATTGAAAGACGATGAAGGTTATAAGTTTCTACTACAATTCAATCTAAGTTTCATAATAGCAAGAGAATAACCACAAAATCACCCTTAAAGAGTGGAACTGCCCGAAACTCCCAGACTGAATTTTGTTTTGTTTTTTTTTTTATTTCTTTACAAAGAAATTAGACTCAGACAAAATTTCCCAATTTTTCACCATGCCTTCACAAGACAATTACATCTGGAGTCCAAATGTACAGAATATAAAAAAAGAGACATTATTCAAAATACCCAATGTCCATTTCATGGAGAATTGTCCGAACAGCCCATGTTTTCCCGTGTTACTTGTTTTATTGACATACCCGAAAAAAGTGGACAAGAACACGTCCCTTTTCGAAAGGTGGTAGAACGATATTGAAGAGCTGCTTTTATACAGCATGCATTTTCAATGTTTATGGTCCACAAACATCTCCGAAATGGCACAATATATCAGAATGTCCACACACACACATCCTCCCCACTCTTTTTTTTTAAATTTTTGACAACGCCCTCCAACCCCATTTGGCCTGTGACCCATTCATGTAAAAAAAGAAGGCTTTTCTCACTGTTTTACTGGGCTGCTCCTTTTTCTTCCTCTTGTCGGAGGCGCTGAGATAGGAATGTTCTCTTGAACGAAACGGGAGAGCCCTGGCAAGCTCTCTCTCGCTGTAGGGAGGAAGTGAATCTTCTTCCTCAACTTTGTGATGGTCCTTGCCTTCTCCAGTCTTGAACGTTGGAGATCGACCGTAGCTGCGGCTTGAATTTTGCCGCAGGCTTAGTTTAGACGGGGTGATGCTGGTATCCTCGATACCCCTTGACTTCCGTTCTAGAATACTGCTAAGGTAAGCGTCATCGTAACTCTGTCCCATTCTAGTTATCCTTTTGGGAAGATGCTTGTCCTCTGGGGCTCGTATCCTAGAAGGGCTGAATGACCAGCCTCGTTCATTGTCTGAAAAGAGCTCCCTTCCATAGTTTCGTTTTCCATAGTAGTCATCGGTTGAGCTGTCCTGGTAGACTGATCTTCCTCTTGACTCGGACCGCTCAAACCTTGGTCCTGAGCCAGGGCCCCGACTGTCAGCCCTCCGGGGCCTCTGTTTATAGGAGTCTGCGAATGCTGCTAACTCATCGGTCGAAACGGCTTGAACTGCCATGGGGAAGGATTTCCTTTCTAAAACTTCAGATGTTGGTCTTTGGAGGCTGTGAAGAAAGATCAATGTGCATATGAAGTGCTAAAATCTATGCAAGATTTATTTATGCATACTAATTTTTAAGAACAGTGATGCTTTAGAAAAACTAAGGCAGGCCATAGACCGTGCAATTTTATTTCCTGGAACCCAGAAGAAAATCGCTCAATTCTCCCATCAACACAGTCAGAATTGATGGGGGAATCCCTCTAGTGCAGCTATTGTGTTCTCCCGCCGGGAGTCGCCTTGCTGCGAGAACACAGTGATTACCACTAGCAGCTATAGCGGCTGACAATAATTGCATGTAAAATTCTGACATGCTGGTTGCAGTCAAGTCAGTTGATGGATTGACTTGGGTACAATCAGCCTGCCCATACATGGTTTGAATCTCGGGGCAGCACAGTGGCTTAGGACTTCTGCCTGGCAGTACTAGGGATGTCAGTTTGAATCCCAACCACAGCACTACTTGCATGGAGTCTGCATGTTCTCCCTCTGCCTGCATGGGTTTCCTCCACGTACTCCGGTTTCCTCCAACACTTCAAAGACATGCTGGTAGGTTAATTGGATCCTATCTAAATTGTCCCTAGTATGTGTATGTATGAATGTAAGTTAGGGACTTTAGATTGTACACCCCTTGAGGGTTATGGACTGATGGGAAACTTACAATATATATGTAAAGCGCTGTGTAAATTGATGGCGCTATATAAATACCTGTAATAATAATAATAATAAATCTCGGCTGGTCCCTGCTGAACAGGCTGAGATTCAAACCATCTATGGATGATTTAATGTTGTTGATCCTAATAATTAAAGACTAATTCCAGCTAATCTATATTTTATTGTTCTTGAAATGAGGGTATAGAGACAGTTAGGAACATCAGCAAAAAAAAAAAAAAGAGGGAAGTCAGGAAAGCCCTTATGATGTACTTTTGTGGTAAAAACAAATTATTAAATAAAAAACAGAAGGAATATGGTTGAATAAGGTACATCTGGAAGGGTTGCGGTTGACCATAAGAGATGGTATCTACAACCTTTGGTGAGTACTTGTAGAAAGTATATCTGTCTCCACGAATGCCTAGGGTAGCCTAGTGCTAGGTCTGCTTGGGGAACATTAGGATGGAATACAATCAGATGAAAAAAAAAGCCCAAAAGGTATCTAATAGTTGCACAGACACCTTTGGATGGAATTTGTTACACAGTCCAAAGAACCGTATGATGTTAGGAGACAAAGTTCGGAACAACATTACTCTCTTGGTAAAGAAATATGTATTTAAACATCAATACAACATTGAACCACTGGTGCTTAGTAGATGTTTCTCTACCAAGAAAGTAATGTTGTTTGGGACTTTTTTGCTCGTAACATCATTTGGTTCATTCAGTAAACTGCATAGTGAATCTATCCACAGGCACCTCCGCTATAGTAGACACCTTTGGGCTTTTTCATCTGAACAGTTGATTCCAGTCAAAATGTTTTAGATTTCTTTTGGGTAGACTTGGGAAGAGTAAAAATGTCTCTGTGACAGGCAGAACAAGAAATGTGAAGAGACGATGTCACCAAGACTGGAAATCATAGAAAGTTCTACTTTCAGGAGCATCTCGCGCTCCTGCTCCATCACAGTTGCTGCATTTCAGGATCCTGGTTTTGGTTGTGATACATCTCTTCCTGTCTGTCCACCTGAAAGGTGATTGATTGGTGGAGACCAAACCTGATTTAAGCCAGCCAAGCCTGTATTCTCATGCTTGTGATATTACGCTTGTAACACGTGTTCTAAGCTCCCTGTTGTCTATCCTGCTGCTAGTTTGAATTCCCTTGTTGACAATCTCGGATCGGATATCGACTACTCTCTGAACTCTGCCTGTCTTTTGACTACAGATTTGACCCTCACTATTCTGAACCTTGCTTGCCTTGTACCTGGACTGCCATTGAACCACTCTGCCTGTCTGTCAACCGCAAGTACGTGTTTGCTGTACTCTGTTCACCCCTGCCCCAGTGTGGTAGCCAGGCACTATAGCATTGTGTATAAGTCTTGGGGCAAACCGAGTACTGGTAGGCCTGCTTGCCTTATGGGAAAAGGGACTGGTATAGGTGAAGAACACAGAAGCCAGCTATAGTGTCTGAGCACCTCTGTCAGGGGTAATCATGACAACTACTAAGCTGAAAAAGGTTTTAAGACTTCATTCATTTTAACTGTTGCAAAAACTTTCTCAATTGCAGAGATTTCCCATCATTTCCTGGCCATATAGTTAAATCCCCCCCAAATGGGGCACGCACTGAGAAATAAAAACCTTGCAGAAAACACAACCTAACAAGGTAACCTGTCACAAGATTCCCCATTCCCTTCAACAGTCATGGTCCTCTCTTGTCTTGGGGTGTCTTCTACTTTTCTTGTCATAACTGTCAATGGTGGGAGTAAGGGCAGTAAAGAAAAAAGCATCGCTCTTTTGACCCCTAGTGATCTGTCCAAAGGTGGACAGGCACAGTAAAAAGGTCTGTGCCTGGTACAGAAGGTATTCTAGTTTGCATATTAGCAGCTGTATCAGCTACTTATACATGGAGGTATCAGGACTCCATAACAGGTCAGTCACATGGTAAAAATTGTACAAATGTAGAAATTGTGTGTGTGTTCATATGCCCCCCCCCCCCCCGATAAGTCAGAGCTAGAGCTTTCCAATCAGCAGAGAGCATGAACTTTTTTGACTGGAGAGCTCTAGCTCTGGTTCAGCTGGAGAGGTGGGGGGGGTCGTGTCAGACTTTTTAACTCGAATTTACAATCAGACCGTGCATTGGGGGTTATTTAATAAAACTGGAGGGTGCAAAATCTGGTGCAGCTCTGCTTAGAAACCAATCAGCATCCAGGTTATATTGCCAAGCGTAATTGAACAAGCTGAAGTTAGAAGCTGATTAGCTACCAGCTGCACCAGATTCTGAGCGCTCCAGTTTTAGCAAATCTCCCCCCACTGTGTGCTCAGTTTTACATTTTGGTTGTAAAATGTTTCTTTCATCTCTGGCCACTTCCACCTTAGCTTTGCAGACTGAACAATATGGTGGCAGTCTGAGTGGACAGCTTTAGTCATTGTCAATAGATCAGGGGTAAAGTATCTAAAGTACAGTATTTAACAAACTCGTGCAGACTCCACCTCCGCAACATCGCCAAAATCCGTACGTTCCTAACCCCAGAAACCACTAAACAGCTCATCCACTCCCTCATCATATCACGACTCGACTACTGCAACTCCCTCCTCACTGGCCTGCCTCGCCGCTGGCTATCCCCGCTTCAGTCGATCCTGAATACAGCTGCATGCCAGACTCATTCACCTTTCCAACCGCTCCATTCCGCCACCCCCCTCTGCCAATCCCTCCACTGGCTTCCGCAACGGATCAAATTCAAAATCCTAACGCTGACGTACAAAGCCGTCCACCATACTGCCCCGAACTACATCACTGACCTAATATCCAAGTACCGCCCAACACGCACACTCCGCTCCTCACAAGACCTCCTTCTCTCTAGTTCCCTGGTCTCCTCCTCTCATGCCCGCCTCCAGGGATTCTCCAGGGTGTCACCCATCCTCTGGAACTCCCTGCCCCAACCCATCAGATTATCACCTACTCTCCTCTCCTTTAGGCGCACCCTGAAAACTCATCTCTTCAGGGAAGCCTACCCCACCCCCTGCTAACTTGCCGACCTCCTCCACTCTTCCTACCACCCCATCCCCCACAGCTATCTCCTCCTGTGCCACCATCCCCTCCCTCCTAGATTGTAAGCTCGAAAGAGCAGGGCCCTCAATCCCCTCATGTTTTGCATTGTATTGGTATTGTTCTGTCACATGTTCTGTCCCCCTTTGTAATGTACAGTGCTGAGCGAACTATTGGCGCTTTATAAATACTGTATAATAATAATAATAATCTACAGTTTTTTTTGTTGTACACTAACAGGTATGAAAATCTTTGGAACCCATTTACTCACCTACTCCTGAAGCTCTCTCTGTCATCCCTGAATTTGGAAGACCTCGTGGTCCCCCCAACAACGCCGGACCAGTATTCTGCATCCCCATCGACATTACAGCTGGAAGGGAGAGGCTTCCTGCGCACTTGGCGATAGGAGCGGTTGAAGTGGGAATTGTCATCGTGTAGGGAACTTAGCTCCGAGATTGTGTGGCTGTCTAGGAAAGGAAATGAAATGCGAAAAGTAATACAAGTATGAGAGGAGATCACTTTAGCTATAATGGCCATGAAAACTACGCAACAGCATAATACAAGAAGCTATTACTGCCTACAAAGTGAGAATGGATATAGTAACATTTATATGTTATAGTGGTGCTCAGCTGCAGTTTCACTACCCAGTGTGGGCTTCTTCAGTTCTACCCTGTTGGTCCTAAAGACTACTGAAAAAAGTTAGTGCCCCCTTTCATTCTGGAGGAAAATGTTAATTTGAATGTATCTGTCTATTTCAGCCAAAATATCATTTGTGAGGTCAGGTACTAACGTTGGTCTTGAGGTCACAGATCTGTGCAGGCCACTGGAGTTCCTCTACAGCAAGGGTCTCTAAACTTTCTAAATAAAGGGCCAGTGTATTGTCCTTCAGAGTTTAGGGTGACCAGTATTTGCTACAATTTTCCATTTTCCTGGTGTCAACATGACAGCATACTACAACCAAGAGCTGGGACAAGGGGTGGGCAGGAGGGGAGGCTGCTCTGGGCACTTTGGTATCATATGAGGTGGGGGGTTGGCAATAAAAGATCGGGGGGGGGGGGATTTGTGTTGGGAGGGGAATTTAAGGGGTGGCAGGGGTACGAATTATTCTAGAAAGGGGAAATTTGGGGAGGTATGCTAGGATTGGCCACTTTGGTATCATATGATTTGGAAGGTTGGCAAGAAAAGATTGGGGGGAGCAGATTTGTGTTGGGAGGGGGAATTTGGGAGTTGGCAGGGGTATTATTCTAGAAAGGGGAAATTTTTGGAGGTACGCTAGGAGTGGTGATTTGAGGGGATTTGTGTTGGGAAGGGGGATGGGGGAAGAGTATTCGTGCTAGGGAGGGAAATTTGTGCTAGAAAAGGTGATATAGTTAAAGGGGTAGTGTATTTGTGCTAGGAGGGGATTTTTTTTTGGGGGGGGGGGGGATTTGTGCTAGAAGGGATGATGGGGGGGGGGATTTGTGCTAGGAGGGAAATTCAGAAGGGGGGGGGGGGGTGATTTGTGCTAGGATGAAGGATTGGGGGAGGGGAATTTGTGCTGGCAGGGAGGATTTGGGGGGGGGGGGGGATTTGTGGGTTTCATAATTTGTGCTAAGAGGGGGGGAATTTTTGTGTGTGTGCTTGGTGCATATGGGGATCCCCCCAGATTTGTGCTTGGTGCATATGGGGATAGAGAGCATTTGAGTGGGGGGAGGGCAAAGATTTGTGCTGGGAGGGGGGATTTCATCAGGGGGGCGGATTAGTACTGGGAGGAGAGGGAATTTATGCTTAGGGGGAGCACTGTAAATTAATTTTCTGACACATAATGCTCAAACATCTTGGTGAAGGGGGCAGGGTGGGATGCTACAACATGTCTGCTGCCACGGACTGGCGCCAGGAAAGGAAAGTTATGGTAAGCATTTGATACAATTTTCCATTTATGTGTGTGTCACGGAGTGCCTGTGCCTTCCTTACCCCCCCCCCCTTTGCTTGCTGTCCCTCTGCCGTATCCCTTCAGTCCCCCCTCCCTCCCCCCTTGCAGATTCCTCGCGTCCTGCCAGCCTACATTAAAGGGCTGTGCAGGATGGGAGGAGACGCCCCTGTGGTGTGCTTAGCACCTCTCGGGCACCCCACCAAGAATCCCCGGCAAAGGGCCGCCAAGGTGTCTCTGCGCGCCCCCCGGCGGGCACAGCGAGGGCACAAGGTTTCCCGCGCCGGAGACAAAGGCCGCACTCTTGAGAGCGTGGCGCGTGTCGAGGGGGCAGGGCCTTGTTGCCCCCGGCAACCCGACCTGGGCCGGCTTAAGAAGGCCGGCGCGGGACCCCGGTGGGTGCGTGTGTGCTCGATCCCTGCTCGAGACAGGGTGCTGTGTGGGGTCTGCGCTGAGGCCAGACCCCACAGCCATGACCCCGCCGAGCCCCTGAAGCCTGCTGTGTCCCTATCTGCAAGCCTGCTGTGTCCCCACCTGCTGAAGCCTTCCGTGTGCCTACCTGAGAGCCGTGGGGGGTCCCTGTCTGCTGGTCGTCTCTGTCTGCTGAACGCTGGCCGTCTCTGTCTGCTGATCGCTGGTCGTCTCTGTCTGCTGATCGCGGGTTGTCTCTGTCTGCTGATCGCTGGCCGTCTCTGTCTGCTGATCGCTGGCCGTCTCTGTCTGCTGATCGCTGGCCGTCTCTGTCTGCTGATCGCTGGTCGTCTCTGTCTCCTGATCGCGGGTTGTCTCTGTCTGCTGATCGCTGGTCGTCCCTGTCCGCTGATCACTGGTCATCCCTGTCTGCTGATCGCTGGTCGTCCCTGTCTGCTGATTGCTGGTCGTCCCTGTCTGCAAGCCGCCTGCTGCTGAGAGCCTGCAAGCCGCCTATCGTGAGTGTCCCTGGAAGCCGCCTGCTGCTGAGTGTCTGCAAGCCACCTATCGGGTCCCTGTCTGCTGATCGCTAGTCGTCCCTGTCCGCTGATCGCTGGTGTCCCTGTCTGCTGATCGCTAGTCGTCCCTGTCCGCTGATCGCTGGTCGTCCCTGTCCGCTGATCGCTGGTCGTCCCTGTCTGCTGATCACTAGTCGTCCCTGTCCGCTGATCACTGGTCGTCCCTGTCTGCTGATCGCTGGTCATCCCTGTCAGCAAGCCGCCTGCTGCTGAGTGTCTGCAAGCCACCTACCGTGAGTGTCCCTACAAGCCACATGTTGCGGCATGCCCTGAACTGCCCCCATTGTGTGCCCAGATTACCCTTGTCTGAACTGCCCCATTGAGTGCCCAGATTATTGCTACCTGAACTGTCCTATTGTGTGCCGGGATTAATACTTGCTCGGACTGCCTATTGCGTGTCTGGAGTATCGTAGCTACCTGGACTGCCCCCCCCCCCCCCCCGAGTGCTCGGGCCATTGCTTCTTAGATTACCCTATCGCGGGCCGGTTTACCATTATTTTGTGCTCCTCCCCTCTCTTCCCCTTTTTGAGTACCTGGACGCTACCTTCCTACCCTGATTGAGTGCCTTCCATAGTTCAATAAAGCTTTGTGTGTTCATCATCTTCTTTGTGTATTCTGTCCTGCCTACGCTTCCGTCACAGTGTGCTGAAGCATTAAGACAGCCCATAGATGAGTCTGTTTTTTTTTGTTCAGCTAGTGGGTTGAATGAAGATTCCCCCATCCACACACTCAAAGTTGATGGGGGAAACCTCCTTGCTGTGTCTTTGTGCTCTAACAGTGGGGAGACTTCCCGGCCATCATAATACACTGATTAGTGCTGCAGTCTACAGCCTGCAGCACTGATTGATTTGACAGGGTGGCTGAACAGCAGTCAACCTGTTTAACCACAGTGCCCAAACATGGATCAAAATGTTGCCAGTCCCTGCTGAACCAGCCAAATTTTGAAATTTGATCGATTTTGTGTATGGGTAGCTTAACAGCACTCTTCAATGGAAACACTTGAAGTCAGTTTGGGGGGCTGCAAATGTAATGGTCAAGGGTTCACAAACTCTTGGCCATTTAGTGCATCTCTTGAAAATATCCACGAACATATCCATGGTTCAGTTGTAATATTTTCCTGTCTTCCTGTTTTGTGATTGGTTGCTTGTCAACATGGATGCGCAATCCCAAGACAGAAGAATATGTCATCCAACATTTTGCACCATGGAGACATTATCAGTGAGGGAATTCTACCTTTGTAGAGAAACAGAAAATTGCAGCTGTAAGGAAAACAATACCTTCAAGGTTTACAATCATGTTATCTAAATAACTGTAAAAGAAGAGAAATTGCAATTATCACGGGTGGGAAATGAGATTCTTGAATGCAGGCACATCAATGACAGCCGTGTAAGGTTTTTCATATCTGTCTTACACACTTCTGATGAAGCATATATGTTTTATTATTACTAATGAAAGACTTACAGTATTTACCATGTACAAAGGAACCATTGAAACACAGCAAATTACTTTCATTGTCGAAGAAAAACGTGCTAAAGCAAATTCCATCCCTCTCCTCGCAGGAATGAGCCAGCAGGAGCTGGAATTGTGGTGGCAATTCCAAAAGGCTATTTATCTATTTATTAATGATTTACACATTTACACATGTTCACATCGGAGTCTATGAAAAAATATGTGAATCCTAGGTAAAAATATTGATAAATAGATCCTACAGGATGTTCTTATTCATTGACCTGTCCAAATGAATGGAGGTCTTTTAATAGAAACCTACAATTTCTACACATTTGTATCCCTAACCAGTTTAATACCGGGCAATTTTACACCTCCCTGCCCAGGCCAGTTTTCAGGATTGATTTTACCGGACTGAAGCATAATTAGTATTTATTTATAATATGATTCTATCTTCCTATTGATATACCATTATTGGACTGGAGTATAACATTTTTAGCGCTGCACTTTTATATATATATATTAATGAGGTTTGTGTTTTGGTTGCCTTTTATGTGCTATAGCTGCTACAATTTGAAGCGCTCACTGATTTTAGTTACCATACATCCTTCTGTCCTGTCTTGTTGCTAGGAAGTTGTTAACCACTTCCCATCCGGCCCATGTATATAAACAGCCGGATGGGGGAGCAGTACAGGGGCGGGCGGCCGTTTATAAATGTCCTCCCCGCTCCCTGCTTGTGCATGCTCCCTGGGAGCACGCAGCACCGCGATCCGGTGCCCGCTGTGTCCGGAGGAAACAGTGGAACACCGATCATTATACAGGACCTCTGTGTGAGGTCCCGATCATGTGATCACTGATTGGCCAATAAATGATCACATGAAGAGTAGTAAGCAAGATGTCACTTCTGACATCATTGCTTACTACGTGTGAAATCTGTGAATGATCACAGAGGTCACATGGTACAAGGCTATTCACAACAGCCTTGTACCATGTGACAAGCTGTGACTAATCACAGCTCACTCAGTAGCTCTCAATGGCTGCAAGAATGCAGCCAGTGAGAAGGAGAAATTATCAGTGTAAATGAAAAAAAAAAATCTTCATCACCCCCCACAAGTAGTACAGTGTCACTATTGTGACACTGTACTGTTAGGGTGACACTATGTAAAAAAACAACCAACATAAGTAATATAAGAAAAATAACATAGAAATGTAAAAATAAATTTTGGAAAATTATAATTTTTGGTTATAAACTAATTTGGGTTTTTTTTTTTTGCTAAAAAGATAACTGAATACATTTTGGCCAAGATTTATAAAGAAAGATTATTTATTTGCAAAATTTTATAAGAAAAACACTTTTTTTTCAAAATTTTTGGACTTTTTCATTTATATAGCAAAAAAAAAAAAAAAAAATCCCAGTGGTGAATAAATATCACCAAAATAAAGTTTTATCTGTCTCAAAAAAATGCTAAAAAATTCATATGGGTACAGTGTTGCATGACCGCGCAATTGTCATTCAAATTGTGACAGCGCTGAAAGCTGAAAATTGGCCTGGGCAGGAAGGGGGTGAAAGTGTCCGGACTGGAAGTGGTTAAAGTGGAGATCAACCCAAAAGGGGAAGTACTGATCCCCCGCTCCCCATGAGGAATTGACACCTTCGGGGAGCGGGTACCTGATTTTGATAGGTACCCGCTCTCGTTTGCCTAGGCAATCGAAAGTGGAAGTTGTCCTCCCCGTAGTCTTCTGACGATCAAGGTATATCATTCAAGGTGCAGCGCTGCTCGTGCATGCGCAGTGGGCACCTGGCTGTGAAGCCGCAAGCTGTTACAGCTGGGTGCCCACACTTAACACCGCGGAGCGAGGACGACTGGTGAAAACGGCTGCGGTGAGTACAGCACTGGATCATGAGACAGGTGAGTGGCTGTTTTTTAAGAGTCAGCAGCTACAATTTTTGAAGCTGCTGACTTTTATATTTTTAGGTTTGACTGGAGCTCCGCTTTAAAGTGGTTGTAAAGGCTGAAGGTTTTTTTACCTTCATGCATTCTAGGCATGAAGGTAAAAAGCCTCCTTCTGCGTGCAGCTTCCCCCCCCCCCACACCCACTGCTGTCAATCACAGCCAGTGAGAAAATGAGATTGGGGGCGAGCCACGGCTCTATGTGTCTTACAGCGGCTTGCTATTGGGGGCACTGGTCAAGGGGACGGAGCCAGGAGTGTAGCGGGGGATCTGAGAAGAGGAGGATCGGGGCAAACTATTACGCAGAGAAGGTAAGTATGACATGTTTGTTATTTTCTTTTTTAAAAAAGCTGAATGTTTAGCCCTGATTCACACTGATGCGGTGCGGAATTTGCAGTGTTTTCAGTGTGATCAGAATCGCACCCCGTTAATGTGAACCACTGCAGGTGTGTATGTTAGCCTCTTGGCGCTGGCCGCACGCAAATTTGCCTGCGGCCTCCCAGCATCTGGGCCTTGATGCCGAGCGGCCACACATTTGCAATTAACCTCCCTGGCGGTAAAGGGGTAAAGTTTCAGTACCACAAGCGGTTACCCCGAGCTACACTCGGGCTTACCATGCGGCGCTGCTCCGTGATCCCTCGATCACTTACCTTGTCCTGCGCTCCCGCAATGTCCCTCCTGCAGTGTCCCCGGCAATGTCCTGATGCCGGCATCTGTCATCTGGGTTCCGTCCCCTGCGAGCGTCGGGACGTACGGGGTATGGAATTGGCAGGAAATTTAAAAAAGACAAAAAGTGACATTCACTAAATACACTAAAATCACATAGTATAACATTCCTGTATCAAACCATTTCACATACATTTTGTCCCGAGTGCTTTGTCCGGCGCCCTGCCTGCATTTTTACTGTTCTTTCTGCCTGGAAACTGAGAAACGTCCATGACGTCCAAAAAGCATCCCTTTAGGTCAAAAGCGGTTTTAGACCGGCTAGAGAACAGCGATAGTAAATCAGAACCACTTGCAGAATTGAGTGATAATGATTCGTGGGGGAAATTCCTCATCAGACACTGAAAACGATTCTGCGACTTTGCTCAGCGATGTGCGAACTTGGAGCTATATTTCAAATGTCAGTGTTTTTGGTTTGATTATATTATTGAATTAAATTTATTATTATTATATTATTATTTTTTATTAAATTATAATATATGATTTCGTGTTTCAAATTTTATCATACCCGGGATGTTTACTAGACTCTTGTTTCGGACAGATTTCAGTGAGTTATTCCTAAAAATTACAGCCTACAATAAAAAAAACATACATATTTCCATGCAAAAAAAATGTACCGCTTTGAGCACAGAAATATGGACATTATCAGACCGCTAGGGAGGTTAAGAAAAACATATGTGCTGAAAGTGCGTGCCCTGTGCGCTCCCAGCACACGTCTGGTACTCACGGAAAGGTCCCGATCCCCTCTTTGGATCGGGACCTTTTCGGAGCATGTGACCGCCATGACAGTGAATCATGGCGGTCACATGACCCTAAAACCCCACCCCGCCTCCCGGCTTCTAAAACCCTTAAAGGGCCGGGAGGCACCGGCGCCAAGTGGTTAAGTTAACAACACCTAAAAGCGGTCCGCAAAACGCGGTGCGATGTGCAGAATCCGATCGCATAGGTGTTAATACCCATGCGATCCGATTCTAGTGCGGACCAAAAAAAGGGTCCTGCACGTTTTTGGTGCGGGTGCGGTGCGAATAGAGCCATACAAAATGTATGGCTTCAATCACACCGCACACAAATCGCATGTGGTTTGCACAGAAATGCAGTGCGGTTCCTGTGGGAATCACATGCGATGTACCGCACCGCATATATGTGAACCTGGGCTAAATATCACTTTAAGACATTACCAGACAATTCCAAACCACTTCCATTCTCTCTTTCCTGCTGCAGTAGCTCTGAGCTCAGAGATAATGCGACTGAGGAAATAGTGGACCTCATATGTGTGGAGTGTCTTAGTAACGTCCTAGCAACAAAACAGGACGGAATGATGCCATGTCTGGGAGTTTTTCAGCCAGGCTTGGGAGGTATGTAAATGGCCTACATAGCAAGGGATTTATCCAACTTTAGTCAAAGCTGCATTGTTTATTTTTTTCTTTATCTACAACTGCCCCTCACCTTCATAGGCAGTTTATTTGCAAAAATGAACTAACTCTTCAAATGAAATCATCATCAGCCCCTTCAAAAGATCATTTTAATTATAGGTAGAGCCTAGTGTGTGCCTTTAGCCTCTGACGTGACCGCTAATCCCTCAGTTCTTGGATCAGTCACTTGTTCTCTGCTCTGCCCCTCCAGCGCTCACTGGAGTGCCGGGATGGGTGGGGGCAGGAGTGACTGGCTCAGGCTTTCAGTGGCATGCTGAGGGACTGAGCCAGTTGCTGATCAACAATCTGGGTGGATTCCGACATTATTGTCTGGATCCTCTCAGGGAGTGGTGAGGGTCTGTGAAGTCAGCCGACAGCGAACTTTAGCCTGCTGTTGGCTGATTCTGGGTCACAGATGTGCAAAAATAAGTGTACTCTTGTTACCCACATGAGAAGTATGACCAAATAAGCCTTGGTCATACTTTTCTTTTAAACTCAGTGAAAATACATGTGACAAATATGTTTTTAATTTTTCTGAAAAAATGTACTCTATGTCAACTTATCTATGTGCACACATACAATAATAGTAATAATAACATATAATATTTTGTATTCGCCTGATGGGAAAAAAAGATTACAAAAATATTTTTATTGTCTTGACCACAACAAATAAAGGCATTGCATACAAAGCCACCCTGTATACCCTTTAACTCGCTAGCACAGTGGTGGTCAACATTCTTGATATGGGGGGCCTTAAGTGCGACCCCTGACATCACCATGGGCCTCCCTTAAAAATCAAGTAAATATTCAGTCTTAGAGACAGTAAAGTCTATTGGCATGATATAAGAGATTGTTGGAGACTGTAAATATGATAAAAGAGATGCTCAGAGACTGTGACCGTGATAAGAGAGATAGATAGAGACTGTGGACATAATACAGGAGATGGTCAGAGACTGTAGACATTATACAAGAGATGGTTAGCGACTTTAGACATTATACAAGAGATGGTTAGCGACTTTAGACATGATACAAGAGATGGTGAGAGAGACTGTGGACATGATTCAAGAAACGATCAGAGATTGAGGACATGATACAAGAGATGGTTAGAGACTGTGGACATGATACAGGAGATGGTCAGAGACTGTAGACATTATACAAGAGATGGTTAGCGACTTTAGACATGATACAAGAGATGGTCAGAGACTGCTCACATGATACAAGAGATGATCAGAAACTGTGGACATGATACAAGAGATGGTTAGAGACTGTGGACATGATACAAGAGAGATGATAAGGACTGGGAGCATGATACAATAAATGATCAGAGACTGTGGAGCATGATACAAGCGATGGTTAAAGACTGTGGACTTGATGATACAGATTAATCGGAGATTTTAGACATGATACAAGAGATATTCAGAGACTGTAGACATGATACAAGCGATGATCAAAGACTGTGGACATGATACAAGAGATGGTTAGAGACTGGGGGCATTGATACGGAGTAATTTCAGAAACTGGGGACATGATACAAGAGATATTAGAGACTGTGGACATGATTCAGAGATGATCAGAAACTGTGGACATGATAAAAGAGATGGTTAGAGACTGCGCTCTTGATGAAATAGATGGGAGGCATGATACAAGTAATGGACATGATAAAGAGATGGTTAGAGACTGGGGGCATGATACAAGAGATGGTCAGAGACTGTGGACATGATTCAAGAGATGATCTGAGACTGAGGACATGATAAAAGATGATCACAGGTTAGATGATACAAGAGATGGTTAGAGCTCTTGATTACATGATTCAAGAGATGATCAGAGACTGGTGATACAGAGACATGATTGATCAGAGAAACATGATACAAGAGATGACAAGAGACATGGTCAGAGACTGTGGACATGATACAAGAGATGGTTAGAGACTGGGGGCATGATACAAGAGATGGTCAGAGACTGTGGACATGATTCAAGAGATGATCAGAGACTGAGGACATGATACAAGAGATGATCACAGACTGGAGCATGATACAAGAGATGATCAGAGACTGAGGTACATGATACAAGAGATGATCAGAGACTGAGGACATGATACAAGAGATGATCAGAGACTGAGGACATGATACAAGAGATGATCAGAGACTGAGGACATGATACAAGAGATGGTAACAGACTGGGGGCATGATACATGGGCAGGTCAGAAACTTGGGACGTGATTCAAGAGATGATCGGAGACTGAAGGCATGATACAAGAGATGGTTATAGACTGTGCACTTGATGAAATAGATGGTCAGAGACTGCAGACATGATACAACAGATGGTCAGAAACTGCGTAGATGATACAAGGGATGGTCAGAGACTGTGGACATGATTCAAATGATGATCAGAGACTGGAGGCATGATACAAGAAATGGTCAGAGACTGCACACATGGTGAAAGAGATGGTTAGAGACTTCTGACATGATACAGGAGATGATCAGAGACTGCAGACATGATACAAGAGATGGTCAGAGACTGCAGCATGTTGCAAGAGACTGTTGGAGACTGTGAACAAGATACAGAAGTTGATGCTTCAAGAGACATTAGCAGACTAGAGACACATTACATTAGACTGCTAGATAATACTGCTGTAGCAGGGCAACAGGGAAACAAAGATTAGTGTCTGCAGGGTCCCCAAGGGGCCACACAAAAAGGGACAAAGGGCAGATGGTTGGGCTCCAGGGCTCTAGCATCTATCATAAATGTACAGTAAATATCAGTTTTGTGTAGACTGAACATTTAGGATTGTGGGAAAAAAATTGACTTATAGCTCAGATATGGTGTAAATGTCAGGGCTGCTCATGTGCATGCATACAACTGCTTTAGGCTTTTTAACTCTCTTTAATGAAAGGTGTGGTTATCCTGGCATTTTCAACGTGGATCTGTGATTTGCCATGCCAGGGAAAAGCAACAGACTCACTTCACTTCCACCCTCCCCAGCAACACTCATTCACTCACTGCCATGAGCAAAGAGAGGAAGCCCTCTGTAAGCTCCAAGTCCTGACCTGGAGAATAAGCCCTCTGTAAGCTCCAAGTCCTGACCTAGAGAATAAGCCCTCTGTAAGCTCCAAGTCCTGACCTAGAGAATAAGCCCTCTGTAAGCTCCAAGTCCTTACCTAGAGAATAAGCCCTCTGTAAGCTCCAAGTCCTGACCTAGAGAATAAGCCCTCTGTAAGCTCCAAGTCCTGACCTAGAGAATAAGCCCTCTGTAAGCTCCAAGTCCTGACCTAGAATAAGCCCTCTGTAAGCTCCAAGTCCTGACCTAGAGAATAAAACCTCTGTAAGCTCCAAGTCCTGACCTAGAGAATAAGCCCTCTGTAAGCTCCAAGTCCTGACCTAGAGAATAAGCCCTCTGTAAGCTCCAAGTCCTGACCTAGAGAGGAAGCCCTCTGTAAGCTCCAAGTCCTGACCTAGTGAATAAGCCCTCTGTAAGCTCCAAGTCCTGACCTAGAGAGGAAGCCCTCTGTAAGCTCTAAGTCCTGACCTAGAGAGGAGGCCCTCTGT